CAAGACTTTCAAAGAATTCAATAATATGAAAGTATTTCACCAACCTTACGGCTTCCATCTTCACTCGTTCGCTTTCAGAAGGTCGTGTCAAGTGTTCCGGCGTTCTCAGAAGATTCTATAAATTTTCTGATACTAAACGAATACTTTAGAGACTGAAAATAACAGCGTTAGAATTGATAAGAACAAAATGTGGACAAGAATATAAGAACATAACAGAGCATGAGAGAGTGATCTCACCTGATCATGCGCATCCAATCTTCTATTCACCTCATCCAGATGTATATTTTCTCCAGTAGCATCTGCACTATCTTGAGGTGTACATGTTGGGGTTGCTCCGATATCCCTTAAATGATGTTATCTATCAGATTTGAAACTGTGATGAGTTCCATCCACTCTGATGGTTCATCAGTGGTTATGATCACACAAAATACGATATCAGTTTCGGTGACTAGTGATAAACAAGAAGATATTCCCTTACCATCGTCAGCTGAGCAGTGGAAATGATGATGGCAAGAGTGATAGCAACAATTGGTGATAATATCAATGATACATCTGCAAAAATTGATAATGAAAACAAACTTGAGATAATCATATTGATCAACATCAGTTCCTTGCGAATCATAGCTGATCTCATCGGTTGGCAACAACGCATCGATAAGTTGTGATTCAGTTTCAATCTCGGACAGTCGATCAGATTCACCGCTGAAGTGATCATCTAACTGTCGTAAGCGATCCTCTTCTAAGCGTGCCACTTCACGACGCCATTCTTCCAATGCTTCTTGCTCTTCTCTTCAAAATTTCCAATTGATTTCCGAAAATTCGACATTTTTCCGAACATTTTCGTGATATTTCCAACGTTTCAACGAAATTTCAGCTGATCAACTCAATCGAAATAAATCCGTTAGCCAATTCACTGCAGAATTATGAGCAGCAGCTAATAATTTTGCAGCAGTTCCATCTTTTACTCTGCGCATGATGACAGTGATTCTTGCTAATAACTAATTAATAAGTGAAAATCACCTTTGCCCCTAAATCGCCCGTAAAACGTGTTCCCTTCCAACCAAATAACTCAAAATCAGTAAAATATTTCAAATCCAATTCTTGATTCAAAAAGTGCATATCCTCCATACTCTATCATATTGCGAGCATATGCTTGCTCGATCAATCATTATGATATGAAATTCGTTTCTAGTAATCTATGCCTGGAACTGCTATATAATGAAACTTTTGCTCATATGTTTCGACTGCGTTATATCGAAGGAAATGCATCGAGTCTGGTTTGATTTACGATTAGGCAATGCTTGGAATATGCTTCGTTAAAGAAAAAACTTTTTCGAGAAGACACACTTCGAGAACGTAGATTCATCGCGTTGTTGGTATTGTTCTCCTTTAGGCAACGATACATCTTTTGCAGTTAAGCCTTCCTTGACGCGTAAAATCGTTTGCTCCGGTCCTTTTGTCGTCATCTGCTAGAAAACATTTGCAGTCATCGTCAGCATAATATCTTATATGGTCAAATACCATCGAAACATAAAGAGTCGATCATTTGCAACAGTTAAGTGGACCTCCCGGAACATTTACAGCATTAAATCCCATTTTAAGTGTGTCATCACTGTAGACAAATAGGGCACTAATGCTTGTAAAGGATCCTAGGAACCCGAATTTTGATCCTGATCCTGGGATTTCCGTTCAGAAAGATATCGGGATTCTGAGATTTGATGAACTGTGGCATTTCATATAATTTTGGTAACATATTTATCTCGAGTTATCAATCGATCAACTCCACTTGATTCATGTTCAGCAATATCAAGTAATATTGATGATTCTAGATTTTAAAATACCATTATCTGCATTTTTTGTTAAATAAACTGTTTTCTGAAGTAATTATGAATGCACTGATTCAAAAAGACTACGTTAAATATGTGATACTGCTTTACCTTCAAAGGAGCTGAACCTTAAGATGACCACATGATCGAAAAGCGATCTCGGAACTTTAAAATGATTGGGAATTTGCAAATACTATACTGTATGAAATATGACAGTAACTGAATTTGATGGAATTATATCATTCGCATAGTGAGTGATATTGAGTCATGATAAGCAAGTAATATTGTGAATTACTGCTCAAAATCGAGATGCACGTTTAATCGGTAAGCGTATACCGTTTGAATATAGATCGGTGCTTGTTGTGTCTCAGTGGTGTCTTTAGCGAGTTTAGCCCATTGTTTTCGTGCTTCAATGAACCAAAATAGCAAAGCAGTCGTGCCAACAGCAACCAACGACAGGAACATCCTCGTAAAGAAGCCGAACAACATGAAATACTCATCGTCTGGACATTCCTCCCATTCCTCTGGGTCATAGCCCAGCTCGATCGAGTATACCATCACTAAAAGTTGAATTTATTT